AAGAGGGAGGGAGAGAAGAGAGTGAGATGAAGGGAGTAAATAGAATGGTAGGTAGGTAAGATAGAGTTAGATATATCCCACTAGAAGACGATCGGATATAAGGAGCCAAGATGGTAGTGTAATAGGATAGATAAAGTAGGCATGACGATAGGGTATGGAAGTAATGAATGCTTTGAGAGAAGAGAGTAGGAAGCAGGAGTAAGATGGATAGATTGAGGAGATGCGGTGGCGTGGTGGTGAGGGGTTGGCATGCTTTTACTTTGTAGTGAGTATCGTAGAGGGCCAGCTGCAGTTGAATCAGTGGTACACAGCTGGCAGTAGTAATAAGAAAATAGTAGTAGTTGTGTAATAATTGTTGTGCTAGGTAGTAGTTAGGAGTAGTAGTAGTAGTATCAACTAGTAATAATAGTAGTAATAGTAGTAGTAGTAGTAGTATGCAAGCTAGTAATTAATAGTAGTAATAGTAGTAGTAGTAGTAGTATCACTAGTAATGAATAGTAGTAAATAGTAGTAGTAGTAGTAGTATCACTAGTAAATAATAGTAGGGTATAGTAGTGAGTAGTAGTAAGTATCGAAGCTAGTAACTAATAACTTTAGTAATATTTGATTTGAAGAAGATTACGTTAAGTTAGTAGATAGTACTACGAGCGACGTAAGATTGATAATATTGACTCAGTTGAATAAAGAGTCTAGGTGATGTAAATGAGTGGTAAGTATAGGCTACGCGGGACGAAGCTAATGAACACAACGTTGGCAAACTAGGCATCGTTTAATAATAAGTGCAAATTAGTAGTATATATGTAAAGCGCGAGTTTATTACGCTCTCTAAGCAACTCCAAATAGTATACGATCTAAGGAGGCGCTCGAGTGCACGCAGGACATCAGTGATGCTGCTCCACAGCGTAGTGCAGGTCGAAATCCTCGCGAGGGGCACGCACTCTTCCACTATATCACTCGTCAGGAAGAGAGCCGAGGAAGCGACACTCGCAGCAGCACAGCAGATTGTATATTATGCGAGGTGTGAGCGGGGGGAACTCCCGTGAAGTTCAACACGAGCTCAGACAAACAGAGTTAACTGAGAACCCAAGATTTGAGAGAGGGGCGGAGAGGGAGGGCGCCCCGCCCGAAAGGCCATGAAGCAGTACCACAGTAGGGATAACTAATGGAGCGAAACACCTAGGTTACCAGTCCGTGCACACACATAGAGATAACAATCGGTGGACTCAGGAAAACGACCCCCACGGGACTCACGCCCCGGGGGTGCGGGAGGGAGGAAATACTGAATGCAGGGGGTGGCGAGCGCGCGCGTGCGTGTGCCTAGAAGGGAGGATGCGACTCTCACCGAAATGAAGGCTCTACCTACTACTCTGTTTGCTCATTTAAACTACCTATCTGAGTCACTACACTACCTGCCCCCCTTCTCCTCCCCCCTACCTACCACCACTCCACCTACTACTACCCACCTATTATCCCTGTCTAGTTCGAGTTCTAATTTAGTGATACTATTCCACATTATCCTTATCATCACTCCTATTTCCTACTTTTAATCTCCTCTCACCTACCTACTCGCACTCCGACGTCCTGACTTGTCCCTGTTCCTCGAGCGAGTGTCCTTTACCTTAAAATAATGAGTGCCAATTATTACCGTATTTTTTTGTTCCTTTGCTTTTCCCTCCTGTTCTCTACTGCTACTCCTGTTTTCCGCCAATTCCTCCACCGGCCTTCTCTTAATCCCCCTCCCCCTCCCCCGCCATTTTTCGCCTCCTCCCCCTACCTATGTCCCTACATCGCCCCCTCCAACCCTACCTCCTATCTTCCCTGATATTCCTCCTAAAAATAACCATTTTCCCTCTCCAATCCCACTCACCCACCCTACCCCATCCCCCTTAACCCCCTTTCCCCGCTATTTCCCTCCACCACACCCCTAATTCCCATTCCCCTACCCCCCATCCCCCTAACCTCCCTACCCCCTCCTACTACACTACTACTACTACTACTATCTCCATTACTTTATTCCCACCCACTTACAATATGATAACTACTATTATTACTATTATTACTAGTGATACTACTACTACTACTACTACTACTAGCACAACAATTATTACTACTTTATTCATTCATTATTACTTTATATATTTCAATCATTTCATATTTCATAACCGGTTTCATACACGGGGAAAAAGGCCGTTCATCCTTCTCAGTTTTCCGGATTCGTGAGTCCGTTGCTATTTGGCGCCGGGACTCACTTTCGCAGAAGGTCGTAGAAGAATATAGTACTAATAACGGTGTTGATAATAATGAAATTAATAGTGATAATTAGTAATAAAGGTGTTGATAATAATGAAATTAATAGTGATAATTAGTAATAAAGGTGTTGATAATAATGAAATTAATAGTGATAATAAAGGAATTAA